GGAGTAGCGTGCAACTACAGCGTCGTACAAGGCCTGAGCGGTCTTGCACTGACTAAAGTGGGCACGCTCAGAGGAAGGGAGGTGGCGACGCACAGCAAGACGTGCAGCAGCATCGCGGGTCGCCCACTTGGAGCGAGCAGCAGAGTCAGCATCAGCAGGCGGGGCAGGGACAGCGCCAGAGACAAAGTCAAAGAGAGAGACCTCATCTATCGCATCACACAGTAAGTACAGCTGCAGGTCTTCAATCCAGACGGCAAAGTCAATGGCCCTCCCCTCAGCGTCAAAAGTAAGAACATTGGGGGTGGCCATGGCAGCAGCTGAAAGTCTCACCGGGCTAGGAGAGTCGGGTAGGACAGCAGCAGGCAGCTCGGGCTGGGTCGGGCGGCTCGGGCGGCTCGGGCGGCTCGGGCGGCTCGGGTAGCTCGGGTACCGGGCGGCTCGGCTGCTGCTGGGCGGCTCGGCTGCTGCTGTGCGGCTCAGCTGCTGCTGGGCGGCTCGGCTGCGGCTGGGCGGCTCGGCTGCTGCTGGGCGGCTCGGCTGCGGCTGGGCGGCTCGGCTGCTGCTGGGCGGCGCGGCTGCTGCTGGGCGGCTCAGCTGCTGCTGGGCGGCTCGGCTGCGGCTGGGCGGCTCGGCTGCTGCTGGGCGGCTCGGCGGGGCCGTCAGGGTGCAGCTGCGGGGCCGGGACAGGGGACGGCGGAGCCGTCAGGTGGCGGGCCAGCAGGTGAGGTGGCGAGCCGTCGGGTGAGGCGGCGGGGCCGTCAGGTCAGGTGGCGGGCCAGCAGGTGAGGCGGCGGGGCCGTCAGGTCAGGTGGCGGGCCAGCGGGTGAGGCGGCGGGCCGTCAGGTGAGGTGGCGGGCCAGCAGGTCAGGCGGCGGGCCGTCAGGTGAGGCGGCAGGGCCGTCAGGTCAGGTGGCGGGCCAGTAGGTGAGGCGGCGGGCCGTCAAGTGAGGCGGCGGGGCCGTCAGGTAAGGTGGCGGCGGGCCGTCAGGTGAGGCGGCGGGGCCGTCAGGTAAGGTGGCGGGCCAGCAGGTGAGACGGTGGGCCGTCAGGTGAGGCGGCAGGGCCGTCTGGTGAGGTGGCGGGCCAGAAGTCGAGGCGGCGGGCCGTCAGGTGAGGCGGCGGCCGTCAGGTAAGGCGGCTGCGGGGCCGACAGAGGTGCAGCGGGGGGGGGGGGGCCTGCTGCAGCGACGAAGAGGCCGCGCGGCCGTCTGGAGGGCGGCGCGGCGCGGCAGAGCAGAGAGGGCGGCGCGGCGCGGCTGTAAGGGCCGCGCGAAGTGGGGCCTGGGCCGCGCGCGCGAAAAAAAATTGAGTCGCGCGCGCGACTCTCGGGGCGCCACAAGGGCAGCTCGACGCGCACTAGGGGGAGCGCGCCTCGGGGAGAATAGGGCGCGCTCCGGGCAGGAAAAAAAATCGTGGGTGGGCCCAAAGAACGGTCCTTAGGAGGGACCCGCTCTATACCATGTGAAACTAACAGAACAGGAATGAATTGACTAAGTCAGAGTTGGGTACAAATACAACCCTAGCAAACTGTACCCCATATGTGCTACCCCACTATAGCCTACAAACATGCATCAGCCATAATAATCTGACATCTTCGCCAAAGGGAACACGGTGGTGTACCGAGAGTAGTCGTCAACGACCACTAGGAAGAAGCTCTCTCGCTCAGGTCCAAGCCGAGGAGCGGGGCCCCAGATGTCTAAGTGGAGTGTCTCAAAGGGCTCGGAGGCTGGACGAAGGGAGGAGGAGTGAGGAGTGGCGCGCAGCCGACCCTGGACACAAGGACCGCACGGAGGAGCGGGGGACGGCGGGAGCGGCGGGAGGTCGCGGGGGAGGCCTAAGACAAGACGCTGACTGGACATAGCGCGGAGACGAGGGAGGGACGGGTGACCAAGGCGGTGGTGCCAGAGGAGGGCAGGGTGGGACAGCGACCGACACGAGCACGACGCAGCCACTAGACCTGGCACAGCTACCTGACTGGACCTGGCTACCTGGTGGGACGGGGGAACCGGACGGGTGTCGGTGTGGAGGGTGTACAGACCAGAGCCCGGCTCCTGACGAAAAGTGGCCAGAGGGGCGTACGTGTCACCGTCCACACAGACTGCAGTGTCACCCGAAGGCTCAAACCAGACCCCGACGTGCTGTCTCGCCAGAGGAGCCACACCAACCAGGTTCCTAGAGAAAGTAGGAACGTGGAGGCCGGTCAGAGAACCGGAAGGGGCAGCTGGGCACGGGAGGGTAGTGGCGTGAGTCGCAATGACCGGTCCCGAAGAGGGATCGGCCAGTGCTACAGAAACCGGCGCCGAGAGTGGAGTAAGAGTCGTGCTGTCGCGGAAGAAGCACTGCGTCGCTCCGGAGTCCAGTGTGAAGGAGAGCGACGCGTCCGCCGAGGGAGCACCTGTACAAGTAGCTAGACAGGATCCTACACCAGCACCTACTCTAGCAACAGGCAAAGATCCTACGCTAGGTACAGGCAAGTAAACAGATCCGACAGCACTATAGTCAACATCAGCATACATGGCATAAGACCTAGCATCATCCATAGACATATCAAACACAGCAACACCACGAGCAAGGAGTGGTCCCCAGCGCGGTGGCAGGGGAGCGGAGGGACCGTGGTGCAGGACGTACAGGTCGTCAAGACGGCTGAAGCAGCGTGCAGCAGAGTGGTCAGGGCGGCCGCAGTACGTGCCCCTGCGCGGACCCGTCAGGATCCAGTACTCACAGGGACCAACGTCGCGGCCGGCCGAGCGGGGTCCCCGACTAGAAGGGGCACCACTGCGCCCAGTGCTCGGGGGGCCCGTAGGTCTCCACTGCTGCGGGGGGGCCCACTGCTGCGAAGGGCCCCACTGCTGCTGAGTGCCCCACTGCTGCAGAGTGCCCCACTGCTGGGGCTGCTGCTGAGGCGGACGCTGCTGTTGGCCCTGGCGCTGCTGCTGCTGTCCCTGCCGCTGCTGCTGTCCAGGCGGTGGCAGCTGCGGAGGAGTCTGCTGCTGCTGCTGCGAAAACCCCTCACCACCGTCTAGAGGAGAGCCGTCAGGTCCCGAGTCACCCCCGCCGCCACCCCCGCCACTAGTACTACCGCCACCGCCGCCACCCGCAACACCCCCAGAACCCCCGCCGCCCTTCCCTCCCTTCTTGCCGGACTTGCCACGTTTCTGTCCGCCAGAGACAGAAACGGCCGCCGTCTCCTCAGAGGCAGAAGACGCGGCAGTGGCAAGCGAGGCAGTGAAGGTGGGAAGCTGTGGTACCGCACACCCCTCAAAGAGACGAGGAGGAGGCGCGGAAGAGGCGGAGGCAACAGCGAGGAGGTTACTCTCGATCTTCGAGAGAGCGGTCTCAAGAAGATCGATAGTAAGCTCAGTGGGGTGCTTCAGAAGAAGCGCGTCGCGGGCTGTGGCTAGACGGTTAGGGAGGCGAGTGACTAACCAGTGAATAGTGAGCCACATGGGGGGGGGTGCAAGGGCAAGCTGTTCCTCAGTGCAAGCGGCCTTGAAGCGAGCTTCAAGGGAGCGCAGGTGGGTAGCGAGGTCAGCGACAGTCTCAAAGGAGGCGAGGTCAGGGTAGATAAAGGGGACGAGGAGGCGGCTGAGGGAGGCAGAGGAGGGAGTGGAGTAGCGAGCAACAATAGCAGTGTAAAGGTCTGCAGCAGACTCGACCTGAGTGAAGTGGACAGCCTCAGTCGGCGGGAGAAGGTCGGTCAGGGCGAGGCAGGCAGCAGCGTCACGAGACTCCCACACGTCACGAGCGAGGAACCGGCGCTGGTACTCAGCCTCCTGCTCGGAAGTAGGCGGTGGGGTAGTGGGCAGCGGTGAAGGCTGCGGCGGGGCGGGCAGAGCACCGGACGCATGCGCAAACAGGTGCACGCCATCCTGGCGCTGGCTCCTAAGGTGGCGCTGGGCCTGCGTCAGCCAGGTACTAAAGTCGATCGCACGCCCCTCAGGGTCGAAACGGAGCACGCGAGACGTCGCCATGAGGGGCGAGGACAAGTGATAGCGGCCGCCAGCCGCGAGAGGAGGAGGAGAGGGAGGTGAGTGCGAGGCGGGTGCGTGCAGGCGGGGCGCGCACTGGCTGGGCGCGGGGCGGCGGGGCGCGCTCCGGCGCGGCGCGCTGGCTGGCGTGGCGCGCGGGCGCGGCGCGCTGGCGGGCGGCTAAGCAGGGCGCGCGCTGGCGGGCGCGGCGCGCTGGCGTGCGCGCTGGCGGGGCCCGCTGGCGTGGCGCGCTGGCGGGCGCGCTAGCGGGCGCGCTGGCGTGCGTGCTGGCGGGCGCGCTGGCGAGCTCGCTGGCGGGCGCGCTGGCGGGCTGGCGTGCAAGCGGGCTGGCGCGCAGGCTGGCTGGCGCGCTGGCGGGCTGGCGCGCTGGCTGGCTGGCGGGCTGGCGCGTTGGCTGGCTGGCGCGCAGGCTGCTGGCGCGCTGGCTGGCTGGCGCGCTGGCTGGCTGGCTGGCTGGCGCGCAGGCTGCTGGCGCGCTGGCTGGCTGGCGCACTGGCTGGCTGGAGGGCGCGCTGGCTCAGGGCGGGGAGGGGAGGGGCGCGCCGGCTGGGGCGTGGGGTAGGGCGCTGGCGGGCTGGCAGGGTGCAGTGGTAACCCTAGTGGTAGGGAAGGGCGGGCCTAGGACTAGGAGCGCTAACCTACTGCTGATACCATGTCAGGATGAGAACTACAGCGGAAAGCGTTGTGTTGACAGAATTGGGGTACATCACCTAACCCTAACTAGTTATACCCCATATAGCCCAACCCACTACAGGCTATAATATTTGACACTCTGTTACCGGTACTACTGTCAGGAATGAGGATGATGGCTGATCTACAGACAATTTTGAAACGAAAGTGCTACACTCCTTGCCTCCTGTTTTGAAGCGCTGCTACTACGGTAGCTTACGTGTACGACAAAGAATGTGATTCTTTGACCTCATCCTCCATTTCCCCTCGTACTCCACTCAACCCACATCACCCCTGGTGGTTGCCCTAGGCCCCCACTACGGTAATTGCACGTAGCCCCACTCAGTGACTTGGGATATCCCTTGACAACTGAGGCACCCTCGGCCCTCCAGCCCCAGCCATTCCCTGTGGGCCACCTGGCACCGTCTCATTGGACAGCGCAGCGAGGCGCTGAATCAGCACAGCACGCTGCCGCTTGAATTCTTCAAGCCTGGCAGTCAACTCAGCAAAGGCAGCAGCAGCAGCCGCTGCTGAGGGAGGCTCACCAGCTCCCCCTGCTGCAGCCACCGCTGCTGCTGCCGCTGCTGCAGCTGCGGCCGACGGACCTGCTGGACAAGCCTCCCCATCAGGTGCGGGTCGGGCGTCAGCCTCGGCCGAGCCTTGCTGCCCGGCCTGGCCTGCAGGTTCGGCCGAGCCGGAGCCTCCCGAGCCTGCAGCGGCATTGGCACTGGCAAGGGCAGCAGCAGCGGCCCTCTGCTGAGCCAGCTGTAGCTTGCGCCTCAACTCCTTGCCCCTTGCCATTTCAGCCTCAAACGCAGCCTGGGGGAGAGGGACAGGAGGGAGGGGGAAGAGTGGGAGATGGGATAGGGGGAAGAGAGAGAGGGCTTGTGAGACGCCTGACAGTTCTTCTGGGCCAGCTGCAGCTTGCGCCTCAACTCCTCGCCCCTTGCCATTTCAGCCTCAATGCCTGGACGAGAGGGGGTGAGATAGAGGGAGGGTGGCGGGGGGGAGGAGGACAGCGGTGGGAGGGCTGAGGTTGAAAAGAAGAGACACGCGCACGGCTTGCCTCACTCTCTCACCTGAACCTGCTCCATATTTTTTTTGTCTGAAAAAATCGCCTCCTGCAGGCCTGCCTTCTGTCCATCACTGCTTGCCTCACCAGTGCCTGCTGCGCGGCTGCCTTCTGCCGCTTCACTGCTTGCTCCAACACCATTTTTTAGTCGCCTCAAAACTCATCAGTCGTCTAACCTGGCCCCTCTGCCTCGCCTGCACCAGGTGCACGGCTGCTGTTCCTCTCTCACCTGAGCCTGTTGCACGGCTGCCTTCTGTCTCATCACTGCTTGCTCCAACGCCACTGGGTCGTCCTGCCGCCGCCTCTCCTCCAACTGACACAGGGCATGATAAGGGCGGGGCAAAAGGTATGGGGAGGAAAAGGTGGAGGCATTGGAAAGGAAACACCCAGGGCTTGAAGGGGGCTGGGGGGTCGTCCTGCCACCGCCTCTCCTCCAACTGAGAGACGGGATGATAAGGGCGAGGGGGGGAGGAGGGGGGGGCGGGGGCGGGAGGGAGTCAGGGAGTTTCTTGTGCTACTTGATTCTCTGGGAAGTTCGCATCATTGCTTGCTCCAATGCCACTGGGTCGTCTTGTCGCCGCCTCTCCTCCAGCTGAGGGTTGTAAGAGGGGGAACGGGAAGGGAGAGGAAGCGGGAGGAGGAGGTGGAGGGGATGCGGAGAGGACGGAAAAAAGCACGGGACAAGACGCTATTCTCTAGAAACTAGGCGTGCTAAAGGTGTTTGATTACCCATCTATTACTCGTTCCAGCTCCTGTTTCAGCTGAGCCCTCAACGACCACAGAGCCTCAATCCGCTGCCTTCCTGTCACTGATCTCACCCTTTCTCCCCCCTCCCCATGACTCACCTCAGCGTTCTTCTGCTGTTCCTCAAGACACATGGCCATGGTCCTATCCAGCTCCTGTTTCAGCTGCGCCCGCAGCGACCGCAGCGCCTCAATCCGCTGCCGCTGCTCTGCGCTCGCCCCAGTCAGGGGCGCTCCTCCCACTCCCCCTCCTGCTGCCACACCCGCCTGTTGCTGCTGCTTCTGCTGCTGCTCCAGCTGCTGCTGCTTGTGTGTCACGTGCAGCAGCTCCCGCTGAAGAGTCTCGGTTTCTGTTCGAAGCAGGGCAACGGATTTCTCTAGCGACTCAATCTCCTTCAACTCAGCTTTCAGCTGGAGAGGTAGGGGGGGATCGGGGGGAGGTGGGGGGGGGTAGGGCGAAAGAAATAGGTAGGAAAAGTTGAAGGAGAAAACAGGTAGGGATGGCAAAAAGGGTGTGGAACAAGAGTGCATGGGCTGCTTTTGCCACTGCTGCTCCAGCTGCTGCTGCTTGTGCCTCGCGTGCAGCAACTCCCGCTCCAAAGTCTCTGTTTCCGTGCGAAGCAGGGCCACTGATTTCTCCAGCGACTCAATCTTCTTTAGCTCTGCTTTCAGTTGCAACGAATGGGAGGAGGACGGGGATGGGGTGGGGGCGGGAGAGGGAGAGGCTTCTTCAGGAGCCAAACAAAAGGGTCCGAAGCAGGGCCACTGACTTTTCCAGCGACTCGATCTCCTTTAGCTCTGCCTTCAGCTAGGAGAGGCTGGTGAAGGGGTGAAGGGAAAGCAAGGGGGGTGGGGTAGGGGGGAGAATTAAGGGAAAAAAGAGGGCAGACATATGGGAGAGGGAGATGGCGGCGGAAGAGTAGAAGGATGGGAGAAAACGAGATTGGGCAAGGGCATGGGATGGGTGTGGACGAGGGGGCCAAGACGGGAGGGCCACAGATTTTTCAGCGGAATCGGCTTGCTTCTGCTGCCTGCATTGCGAACACACTGAACTTCTGCGAGTCACCCCCCCGCACACCCATCTCTGGCTTGAGCTCTATCTCAGGCACGGGCCCTTTGATTCCCGTCTGCATGCGTGCATACAGCTTCTAGGTCGACTCACAAGCCACCCCTCAACTCAACGTATCCCACACACTCACCTCGGGTTCGAGCTCTATCTCAGGCACGGGTCCCTTGATTCCCGTCTGCATGCGCGCATACAGCTCCCTCTGCTCCTGCAGGTCCAGCCGCAGCTGAGCCGCCTGGAGACGAAACAGGGGAGAGAGGAGAGGACAGGCCAAGGGGAAAGGGAGGAAAAGGAGGTCAGGAGTAGCAGAGAGATGATGCCTGTCTGCATGCGTGCATACAGCTCCCTCTGCTCCTGCAGGTCCAGCCGCAGCTGGGCCGCCTGGGAAAGACGAAAATGGGAGGGGTGGAAAAGGTGGGGACAAGGTTGGAGGGGGAGGGGGCAGGGGGGTTTGTGGTTGGGGGAGTAAATGAAAGAGAGGAGAAAGAAAGACTTTTTCCAATCTGCATGCGCACATACAGCTCTCCCTATGCTCCTGAAAATCCATCCATCACTCACGTCTCTCTGAAGGGCGTTCTTCAGCTCCTGCAGAGTCTTCCTGCGCTGTACCAGACTCTCCTTGTGCATTTCATTCACCCGCACTTCCTGAATCACCCACCCTGGGCCGTCCCTTCATCCTATTTGACCTGACAGTTGCACCCAGCACAGCACCTCCCCTCAGTGCACTCACGTCTCTCTGTAGCGCATTCTTCAGCTCCTGCAGAGTCTTCCTCCTCTGCACCAGACTCTCCTGGAGCATCTCATTCGCCCGCACTTCCTTACTCACCCACCCTGGGCCATCCCTTCAGCACAGCACCTCCCCTCAGTGCACTCACGTCTCTCTGTAGCGCATTCTTCAGCTCCTGCAGCGTCTTCCTCCGCTGCACCAGACTCTCCTTGAGCATCTCATTCGCCCGCACTTCCTTAGTTTCCCACCCTGGGCCATCTCTTCCCCTCCCGACACTTGCCTCAGCACAGCACCTTCAGACAAGGCACGCATAATCCACCCCGCCCACACTCACGTCTCTCTGAAGGGCGTTCTTCAGCTCCTGCAGAGTCTTCCTCCGCTGCACCAGACTCTCCTTCAGCATCTCGTTCGCTCGCACTTCCTTTGCCAGCGAGGCGCGCAGCTCCTGACGCGACGCCTCCAGCACCGCCACCTGGGCACCGCTGTCCTCGTCATCGTTGTCCTCGTCCACGTCATCATCGTCCACCAGCTCGCCCTCCTCGTCATCCTCATCGTCCCATGCTGCCCCGCTGTATACCCCACGCGCCAGACCCCTGCCAAGTGCCTCGCCCTGGGAAAGGGGTGCAGGAGGAGAGGAAGACAGGTAGGCACAGCAACATCATCATCCCCATCGTCCCATGCTGCCCCGCTGTATACACCGCGCGCCAGACCCCGGCCAAGTGCCTCGCCCTGGGAGGGAGTGGGGGAGGAGAGGAAGACAGGTAGGCACAGCACCATTGCCATCATCGTCCACCAGCTCGCCCTCCTCGTCATCCTCATCGTCCCATGCTGCCCCGCTGTATACACCGCGCGCCAGACCCCGACCTAGAGCCTCGCCCTAGGTGCGGTGGAGTGGGGAGGGATGGGGTGGGGTGGTATGGGGTGGGGGAGGGGGAGCGAAACGGGGATTGAGAACATGCGGAGAGTGAGGAAGAGAGGGTTGGTAGGCACACCACCATCGTCATCATCGTCCACCAGCTCGCCCTCCTCGCCATCCCACGCTGCCCCGCCCGCTGCACACTCCCAGAGCCCACGCCCTGCATCGCAGCCAAGCAACCAAGCACTCACCACAAAGACCCCTAAACCCGAAACCCCTCAAACCCGGAACCCCTCAAACCCGAAACCCGAAACCTTTTCGACATTTTTCCATTAAAATGATCGTCATGGTCTATGCCTGGTTCGCAGCCATGGTAAGAGCCATGACCTGAGCCGCTGCTGCATGCAACCACCAGCTGCAGTGGTGGAGGCATCCAGTCAATGCTGAATCAAGTAGCACTCACCACGAACACCTTGTCGATATTCTCCATGAGGTAAATCGTCATGGTCTGCGCCTGGTTGGCGGCCATGGTGAGAGCCATGATCTGAGCGGCAGCCGCAGCAGCCCCGTCCTCCCCATCGTCATCGCCCTTGGACGATGCTTGAAGTTCCCCGCTGAAAAGAGGGCGGAAGAGGAGCGGCGCCATGCAGGCTGCGACAGCGGAGGCGTTCATCCTATTGATTGACTCGTTGTTGGTTATAGCGATCATGGTCTGCAGCACACTGTGGGACAAAGGTGGTGGGGGAGGGAAAGGGCAGAGGGAGTCAGGCGGAGGCGTTCATCCTGTTGATCGACTCGTTGTTGGTTATAGCGATCATGGTCTGCAGCACACTGTGGGACAAAGGGGGTGGGGGAGGGAAAGGGCAGAGGGAGTCAGGCGGAGGCGTTCATCCTGTTGATCGACTCGTTGTTGGTTATAGCGATCATGGTCTGCAGCACACTGTGGGATAGGGAGAGGAGTGGACACAGAGGGACAGGGCAGAGGCAAAGGGCAGAGGGAAAGGGCAGAGGGAAGGGGCAGAGGGAAAGGGCAGTGGGAAGGGGCAGAGGGAAGGGGCAGAGGGAAGGGGCAGAGGGAAGGGGCAGAGGGAAGGGGCAGAGGGAAGGGGCAGAGAGGGTCACGACGGAGGCGTTCATCCTGTTGACTGGCTCGTTGTTGGTTATAGCAATCATGGTCTGCAGCACACTGTGGGATGAGGGGAGGGGAGGGTAGCGGAGGCAAGGAGAGGGGGCAGGTGGAAGCAGAAGAGGGAGTCAGGCAGAGGCGTTCATTCTGTTGACTGCCTCGTTGTTGGTTATAGCGATCATTGATTCAAAACACTGTAGGAGGAGGGTAAGGGAGGAGAGACGAGCGGAGGCAGGGATAGGGGCAGCGGAACCAGTTGGCTTTGAAAAATAAACTTAGCTGAACCCCACACTCATGAGCATACAATGCCCCACCCACATACCCCATGCCCCATACCCCATCCCCTTTACCCCATGGCCATGACCAATAACCCAAGCCCCATGACCCATCACACCCTTATTCCCATACAGCATACACCACAGCCCATAGCCCATGCCCATGCCCATCCATGGATACCGGTGCAGCAGGCGCCGGTTGGGTTCGGGCAGGTTGAGCATGGCATTGCGCACCGCCTCTAGCTTCGCCTCTGCCTCGTCCAGCTCTGAAGTGGGGGGGAGGGTGGTGGTGGGAAGGAAGGGTGGTGGGGAAGGGTGGTAAGGGGGGGTGGTTGGAAAGGGTGGTGAGGAGGAGTGGTGAAAAGGGTAGAGGAGAGTGTTGCAGAAGGGTTTGGGGGAGGGGCGAGGGGAAAGGTTCGGAGGGGGAGGGGGCAAATGTCAACAGTAAGAAGAGACTGTAGGCAAGACGGGAGACGAATTTGGACTGAAAAATCCACGCGAAGAGTGCTGGGGGTTCTGAGAGAGCATGGCATGCTCAGGTTCTGGAAGCATGGGGGCTCACGGAAGGCTTGATCGAGGGCGGTGCAGGCATATGGCAGCACAGGGGACGTTGGTAACTCCCGAAGGACAAGCTGGGGACGCGAACACATGGAGGGGGAGGTGGGAAATTGAATTTATAATATCTTTTACGAGCGGCTAGCTCGTGGGTGGTGTGGTGTAGGCATATGGCAGCACAGGCGACGTTGGTAACTCCCGAGGGACAAGCTGGGGTTGCAGATGCGCGTTGAGGGATGAGAATGAGGGGGAATGAGGGATGCGCGTTGAGTGGTTAGGAAGGGAAACGAGAGGAGGCGCTGGAGCAGGAGGATGACGAGAGGAGAGGGGGATCTCTGACTCGACTTGAAAGAGGGCAGGGAGAGGAGGGGGGGGTGGGAGTTGCAAAGGGGCGGGGGGGGAGAGTGGGAGGGGTGGAAAAGGAAGTCCGAGTAATCAGGGGCAGCCCACCTTGCAACAGCCCATGCCACCAACCAAGCAACGAGTCACCCACCTTGACACAGTCGCCCACGACGTGTGGGCTCTCCCCGTCCTCAAACTCCGTGTGCCCCTCCTCGTACTCCTTCAAACGCCTCTCCACCTGCTCCACGTCCGCTGCTGCTCGCAGAATGCCCTCCAGCTTCACTCCTGCCAGCAGAGGGAAGAGGACGAGGGCACAGAGAGGAGGTTCATGAGAGCGAGCACAAGGCCATGAGACTCACCGTGAGCATCTCAATAAACTGCAGCGCTCTGTAGAGTAAGTAGGGCGAGCCGTTGTTGACTGTCTCTAGATGAAGGGCACTCAAGAGGAGGACTGAGGACACATGAGACGAGAGTGAGCAGGGCCAGAGCAACTCACCGTGGACCTCTATGAACTGCAGGGCCTTCTCAAGGAAAGAGGGCGAGCCGTTGACGTCCTCCAGCGCGAGGGAGAAGGGGCGGCACAGCAGCATGGATCGCAGCCGCCGCTCCTTGCCTGGTGGATGGGAGCGTGGGCGAGGAGAGAAGAGGGAATAATGGGGGCGGGGAGATGGCGGAGAGGCGAGGGAATCAGGTGCGCGAGAGGGGAGAAGGGGTGGGGCGGCACAGCAGCGTGCAGCGCAGCACATGCATGACGGAGCCCAGGGCAAGGACGGAAGGCAAGGACGTGGTCTTGTGGGGGGACATCGACTGCAACAAGCCAAAGAAAAAAAAACACTTACCTGGTCCTGGAGGCCCGTCGCCTAGGTCAAGCCCATCCCCTCGGAAGAGCGTATCATGGGGCAGACCCATCATGACAGATGGCGGATGGAAGGAACAGCTATGCTCGCATGCATGGCTGAGCCAAGAACTAGGTGGGAGAGAGAGCACGTACCTGGTCCTGGGGGGCCGTCGTTGTCCCCTATATCAAGCCCATCTCCTCTAAAGAGTGTGTCACGGGGCAGACCCATCATCACAGAAGGTGGAGGCGCCTTGGAAATGGCGTCCTCAAGCGCGTCCCTCCACTCCTCCAGGTCCTCCAGTGTGTCCGTCTGAGCGCGATTGGGAAGGGCGGGGGGGTGACGGGAATATGGGAGTAGGAGCTTAGGGTTTAGGGTACACTAGCAGATGGCGTCCTAGACCGTGTCTTTCCACTCCTCCAGGTCCTCCAGTGTGTCCGTCTGTATGGGTTAGGCAGGAGGCATAGAGGGATGATGAGTATAGGCGTAGCGCATTGTGAAGGGACAGGGGGTGATGGGAACAGGGGGCATGCCAATACCACGGACTATATAAGGTAGCGCAACGGACAAGGGAGAGGGACAAGGCAGAACGTGTGACACTGACCTTAAAGGTGAATTATTCTTTAGGCGCCTCAAAAAAGGTAACGCAGCGGACAAGAGAGGGGGACAAGGCAGAGCGCGTGACACTGACCTTAAAGGTGAATGCATGGCCGTCCGGGAAAGTGAGAGAGAGCTGTTTCTTGTCCGGCTTGATGTGCACCCTGTGTATTGCACACACGGAATGGGGGCACATGATGGGTGCACGTGAGGGGCGCACACATTAGAAAACGTGGAACAACAAGAGAGCCAGGATGAGGAGAAGGTGAGAGAGAGCTGCTTCTTGTCGGGCTTGATGTGCACCCTGTGTGTGGCACACATGCGATGGGCGCACATAGAGGACGTACGAGGAAATCATTACCACAAGATTGCACAGATAGGATGATAATGTGTGATGAGAATGTAGCGCAGATGGGGACTAGGGCAGACGGGGACTAAGTAGAGGGTGAGAGGGACGGAGAGGCGGACTTACTTGCCGGCATTATTGAACTCGATGCCTCCTATTGCAGTTGAGATGTCAATGCGACCCCTCTGCGAGGAGCGGAGGGAAAGGGAGAGCAGAAAGAGAATAAAGAGGTTAAGGAGAGAGGTAAGTCAGTAGCTGTTAAGTGAGTCAGTGACACTCGAAAGCACCGAAATCGCATCAATTATCAGGTCACAATCACTGGCTCGTTAAAGTCACACTCACTGGGTCGTTACAATCACACTCACAGGTTCGTGCTTAAAGAAGATGAGGGAGGAGCGCGTGAGGAGGAACCAGCGCCGCTTCCATGACTTCCACCCCAGACCTGGTGGGGACGAGGATTGATGGGAACGAGAAATGGTGGAAAAGGGAAATGCGGGGAAATGGGAGAGAAGGGGCGTCGAGGGAGAATCAAGGGGAGAATGAAAAGAGTGGAGAAGAACCATCACCGCTTCCATGATTTCCACCCCAGACCGGGAAGGAGAAGGGGGGAGTGATAAAAGCCATGAGAAGAGCGATATCAGATAGGTATGAGAGACAAGCATTTGTAAGAGAGAATAATGATGCAAACATCGGATGCAGAGAAAGTGAAGGGAGCAGAAGGAAAGAAGCAGCGCTCAGGATGGTTAAACACGCCTATGGCTCAAAATTCGTTGAGACACACAGGATGGTTAAACACGCCAATGGCTCAAAATTCGTTGAGACACACAGGATGGTTAAACACGCCAATGGCTCAAAATTCGTTGAGACACACAGGATGGTTAAACACGCCAATGGCTCAAAATTCCGTTACGACGTCAGCACTGCTCCTCGTGAGGCATCAAGACGACTCTATGGTTTTCTTTCCTGGTTTTCCCTTTTGGCGAAGGCTCACCTTTCGACGAGACGGATAGATGGCCACTCTTGTACACCTGTCGGATGGTGATTGGACGCATTCATCGCGGCGGCCAAAGGAGACGAAGTGGGGGGGAGGTGCGGGAGAGAGAACGAGAAAGAGCGAATCAACATATGAGCTGCTCCCATACCATCACGGAAACGACTAAGCCGCTTTTTGCCAGGGACTTTCTTGGTCAAAGCTGTTTCTAAGGACGGCATCACAGGCCATTTGGTGGAAGGTCACGAGGCCAACTCACCCCCTGGTTCCTACGAAGCTTGTAATAGGAACGTCTATGTCTCTCATTCCGACATGCTCGCCTCGAGCATCCCACTGAATCAAATCTGAAGGCATTTCAAGGAAGGTCAGGAGAGCAACTCACCCCTTGATACCTGGGCCGCGGAAGGTCCATCATGGGAGCGTCTAGGCCACTCATTGCGAGAGACACGCCGAGAGAAGTCTAAGCTAAGGACGATAAAATGAGCACGATAAGTGGTGTTGTTGTTAGAATCACGGGTTGTTGCGACGCAAAGCGTCGTCGCCACTAGGTGCTGGAAGACTTGAAGGAACAAGGCTCAGGCTAAAAGTGACGGATGCGAGAGAAACTTGGGCCTGGTGGCAACGAGAACCGTTAAAAGTGATGAGAGGTCGAGAGCATAAATAAGCGACAAGAGGGGAACCAGAACGTAGGCTGCTTAAACGTGCATTAGGCACTGGCTAGCGATGCAAATCGTTGCATGTCCATGCACAAATAGACGAAATCTATACCCCTGGCGTTCCCATTGGTCATTTACTCAATGACAGCTCTACGAGGTGCGCCTGCTCGGCTCATTAGGTCAGAACTCGCAGTCAGGTATAAGCCGTCGACCAAATAAACGAATTTGTTATCCGCGATATGCGGCACAATTTCTGAACAAAATTATTCGTTGACAATGACAACTCCGCATTACTCACTACTTATCACAGCGGTAGCAAAGGCGAAACATCTTTCAGGCTTCAGGAGGATCCTAGGCGGCATAATCTAGGGCCGCCATGAAAGAAAGGGAAAACAGGTGGTTGGTTCGGAATGCCTCACTGTAGCAAGCCGGTTTCGCACAGTACGAAATCGCAAAGGTCGTAGTTTTCTGGTAACCAAGGATGAGAAGGTCGCACAACATCGCTCACTTGCTTGATGTCGAAAGTGGTGGACGGACAGACCCAGCCCCGACAAAGACCTACGTAACTTGTACAGAACGTGTGCAAGAAAAGAGTACCGTACGAAAACGACAGCCGCTTGCAATTCGCCAGTGGCTGGTATCCAGCATCGAAGTGTGGCTCATTGTCGAATCTTTGATGTGCAAAAACGTATCGTTTCGAAAAACGTTTTGAGAAACTGTAAGGAATTTTCTCGGCATTCCTTACGGAGCCCGACTACATCGCGTACAGCAACAGCCGTTGTTCGCCCGTTACTGCTAACGAGGCTTCGCCTACTTCGCGCACACTGTTTTCACCAAACCTCGCACTGCTGGCATGGCCGTGTCGGCCTACGCTTCGGGACTAGCCCAAGCCTTGCTCCAGCGTAGCACTAGCTAAGCTCGCACGCACCGCGTTACCGTTTGCATGTTTCGCGTGTAAATGTTCGCTCATGCCTTCGCTCACATTTGGTACTCGTTTGACACCTTAGTGCAATTCTCGCTACTTCGATTCATTGCACCCGTAACACTTGGTATTCAGAGCCCTTTTCTTTCGGACCGCGCATCTCCGCACCTCAGGAAATCAACTTTTGATTTCTCACTCGAAGGGACTCACGTACCTTAGCACCTAGGAGCCGCTGTCCTCGCGTTCTCTCGTAAACGCGTGCAGCCACGACTGCGCCTAGACTAAGACGAGCCGACGCCCTTCGAAATGGCTGAACACATCGACGTCACGACTCTCACGCAGGAGTACTTGAACGATCTGCTGCGACAAATCCGCGAGAGCGCCGAGGAAATTGCGATGCTAACGGCAGAACGCTCGGCCCTGCAAAACGACCTCACACGAGCACAATCCCAAGCACCGGGCACTCCGATTCAGCCCGCACCACAGACATCACAGCACGGAAGTGTGGGGCAACCCGCGAGCGCCGCAAGTGATGGCGTCGTCCGCCATGACGGAGACGACGACCACGGCACGACACACCCCGACACGACGAATGCGGCCAGGACTCAACCCCGAGTCACGATTCCAGTGCCGGCCGGCGAATCAACTCTTCCGTCGCCGATGCCGCTAAAGCCGCAGCGTCCGCCATGCTTTGACCCAAGTCAACGGGGTGGTCCTACCGTTCAGGCGTGGCTCTTCACGTTGAACGCCTTCTTCGACGCGAACTACGTCTCGGAGGATACGGCGAAAATTCGCTACGCCGTGTCGTTGCTGCGAGGACCCGCCATGGACTGGTGGCGCGTCATCGTCACGAAGCCGGTGGACTACGCGACTCTACCGACACGGGAAGGACAAACCGGACACTGGGCGCCGTCGTATTTCGTGGAGGTGCCCCAGTATCGCACGTGGGACGCGTGGTGCGCAGGTCTACGCGCTCGTTTCGAGCCAATCGCGGCTTCGATCGCGGCGCGGCAGAAGCTCCGCACTTGGCGCCAACTCGGTTCCGTCCAAGACTACACGAGCGGATTTCTGGCGCTATGCGAGCAGGTGGGATATATGCACGAGAGCGAGCGCATCGACCGCTACATCGGCGGCCTGAAGCAGGACATCGCTCAGGAAATCCAGCTTCGCGGCGTCACGGACTTTCAAGAAATTCTCGCTATGGCGGAGAAACTCGATTTCTTCCGCCGACCGTGTCAGAATGTTATTCTCTAGCCTGTAGTGGGGTGCTCTATAGCGAGTACAACCCATTTAGGGTTTGCTATATGTATCCTCATTGCTGCTAGTGAAACCCCTCTTTGCCTAAACTTTCACTTGCCTACCTAGGACTTACCTAGCTATGGCTCCTAACTCTACCTACTACTCTCACATGGTTTCAGAGCACTCACGCTCCCGGGCTGTGGGCCCTACTGCTGCTTCCGCTGCCCTACTCTGTGTCGCGCGCCCCGTGGCGCGCGACCTCCAATTTTTCATCCCGCCGCGCGCTCGGGGCGCGCGGCGGTTTTCTGCCCGCCGTGCGCCCCGAGGCGCGCGGCGGTTTCCTGCCGTGGGGGAGCCCGCGCGCGCCCTGCTTGTCCGTCGCGGCGCCCTGAGGAGCCCGCGAGCGCCCCGCCCGTCCCTCGCGACGCCCTGGGGAGCCCGCGAGCCCCCCACCCGTCCGTCGCGACGCACTAGGGAGCCCGCGAGCGCCCCGCCCGTTCGTCGCGACGTCCTGAGGAGCCCCCGCGCGCCCCGTCAGTTCGTCGCGGCGCCCTCGGGAGCCTGCGCGCGCCCCGTCAGGCCGTCGCGGTGCCCTGGGGAGCCGCGCGACCGTCCCCCCCGCCCGTCCGTCGCGGCGCCCTAGGGAGCAGGCGCGCCACCCCCCTCCACCCGCCCAGCCCGTCCGTTCTGGTGCCCTGGGGGTCTCGCGCTGTCCCCCCCCTCACCATCCCCCGCGCTCCTGCCCCTATCCCACGCGTTTTAGGGTTTTGGGGGTGAGGAGTGTGGGGGTGATGGTTGTGGGGGTGTCGGTTATGCGCGCCGTCCCCTTCTCCTCCTCCTCCTTCGTCTCCCACTGCTGCAGCTGTCGCTGAGGGGGGTGGATGTGTGGGAGTCTGGGGTTTAGGGTTTAAGGGGGGGTGCTGTGGGAGTGGAGCTAGGGTTTGAGCAGGGGGTGTGTGAGAGGGGCGTTGGGCAGTTGGGGGAGGTTGAGTGGAGGCAGCAGTCTTGTCGCCAGCAGCACCAGCAGTCCGGAGGCTACAATCTCCGGTAGTCGCCAGTCGCCTATGGGTCAGTTGCTCCGGTCTGGAGGCTGCAATCTCCGCGGAGCCAGTTACTCCTGTAGTCCGGGCCTTTGCTTCGGTAGCCACTGAGCCAGCAGCTCCTGTGTGTCTGCAGCTTCAGCAGTCGCCTCCCATCTTCTCTCCTCCACAGTCTCTCCTCCTCCTCACTTGCCCTCTGTGATTAGCTCTAGCTTTGCTTACCTTTGTGAACTCCTGCTCTATACCTGCTTGCTCATTGTACTGATTACACCTCACTTTGGCTATGGGGGTGTGTCAGAATGTTATTCTCTAGCCTGTAGTGGGGTGCTCTATAGCGAGTACAACCCATCTAGGGTTTGCTATATGTATCCTCATTGCTGCTAGTGAAACCCCTCTTTGCCTAAACTTTCACTTGCCTACCTAGGACTTACCTAGCTATGGCTCCTAACTCTACCTACGACTCTCACAGACCGAGACCGGGGTCCTACGGAAGCAGCCATTGGGGACATCGGCCTCGTGGGACGAATGAGGGCGCCACGATACGTGCCGTCGCCGCAAACGCCGCTGCCGCACCGTTCAAAGGGCGCTGCTTTGCGTGCAATCGGCCGGGACATCGCAAGAGCGAATGCCCGGAAAACGCTAAGGGGAAGGGGGAAGCTGAGCAGCAGAAACAGACCAAGCAGCAGGGAAACGCTAGGAGTCAGTAGCAGACGGGCCCTCTACTGACAGGTCACGCCGCTCGCCCGACCCAACCAACCCTCACCGAGTGATTTTGCCGGTTCACGCAATCGACCACACTCGGCCGAATAAGGAGGGGACCACGGTAGACAGCCCCATACTGCTTAGTGGGAAAATCGGGACGGACTTAGTTAAAATCTTCGTAGACGGGGGAGCCAGCCACAGCCTCATCAACACCGCTACAGCACAAAAACTGCGACTGCCACTGGACAAATGTTTACCTGAGATCGACGCACGACTGGTAGACGGCACGCCGCTGGCGATACGGGAACGCGTAGACCGGGCTCGGATCCGATGTGGGGGTTACTTCACGTTTAGCCAGGAAATGCTCGCAACGACCCTCGATGGAACCGATATTTTACTCGGGCGTGATTGGTTGCGACGACACAACCCGCGAATCGACTGGGCGACGGATGACTGCACCGTGCGAGTGAACGGTAAC